ATAAAGTGCTTTTAAATAGGAACTGACATAAATTGTTTTCAAGTTCTGTGTATTTATAATTATTTTATAATATATTAAAGTATATTTTTTTATTCTATTGCGTCCAACATCTATTTTTAATTTTGAACATAAATAAATTTAAATAAAACCTAAATTTTAACGTTTTTTTTTTTTGCTTTCTATATTTTCCAATAAAAAATATTTCGTAAAGAATACACAGAAAAAACAACTAACGGCCAATTTCGAAGAATGCTGACGTATGCATTGTGTTCCTTATGTGCGTATTCGGGTGTATTCTTCATTCAAAAAAATCTATTTTTAAGTGTGCGTTATTTTTCCATTTTACCATCCAATTTTATCACAACAAATTGTGAAAAATATGGTCGTGTGTACAATAGTTTAGAGGAACATTTTTATTTAATATAAAAAGAAATATCTATTTGTTTTACGAAATATTATCAGATGTTAAGCAGTCACACGATTTTGTATTAACAGGATTAAAAAAGAGATTATTGGCGTTTTTTTGTTTTAATAAATTAAAAATTTGTGGTCAAAATCAATAACCGGTTAAGTCGTCTTATAAACTAATCGAGTTATCTATGCCTTTACAAACATAGATTTGATTGGCAACAATGTAGCTGATGAATAAGCGCATTAATGTCCGATAGAAATATAGACATCTTTTGCGGCATTCCGCAAAAAGTTTGCACACAAAGTCTGGATAAAAGGCTCTATGAACATTCCCAGACTAGATGACAACACGAGCCAACTTGTATCATTACTAGGAAGATATGGCCAAACTTAGATAGTCACCCCTATTCTGCATTTGAATTCGAATCAAAATTTTCTCCTTTTGGCAACTTTAGTATTCTGCATTTCGATTAGAAGCTCCGTCACTAAAATAACAACTTAGAAAAACGTAGTTACAATCGTAATGCAGAATACACAAAATAAAAAAAATGAAATTGCTTCTTCTTTTTCTTACGATCGTAGCGTAACTGAATGCGGAAACGTAATCGAAATGCAGAATAGGGGTGAGTAAACGCACGTCATATTTCCTACAACTATTTGGTCCCAATCTAAGCTGTCATTACAGGACACGGTTTATTTAGGAACCAGAAGTTGCCAGGATGAAGAAGAGTAAGAATACGTAGAACATCTTCTCCACCATTGCCCTGCATTAGCAGCAGGCATGGGGGTTAATGATTGCACAAAGTAATTAATTACAACTTTAATTACAATTACTTGTAATGTGTAATTGAACAATGACCCATTACAATTTCTTGTAATTATAATTGAATTTTTTCCAAATAAAATTACTTGTAATGTGTAATGAACCAATAAGCAATTACAATTATTTATAATTGTAATTTAAGTTTTGCCAAAAACAATTACTTGTAATTGTAATTGAAATTTTCAATTAAAATTACTTGTAATTGTAATTTAGATATTACTAATTACAAATGACATGTAATTGTAAAGAACAAAATTCACAATTAAAAGTAATTGTAATTGAAAATTCTTCAATTACAATTACTAGTAATTACAATTACTTCAATTACAAGTAATTGTAATTGGCAAAACTTCAATTACAATTACAAATAATTGTAATTGGCAAAACTTCAATTACAATTACATGTAATTGGTAATGCGTCAATTACAATTACTTCAAATGTAATTGTAATTGAATGTGTAGTCATTACCCCCCAAGCGTGATTAGCAGGCACTTGCTTCAAATTTCTTGGAAATCGACTATTCAACGACCTGTCAGAATTATCCAGTTTAAGATTGAAAAATATTAACGCCTTCATCAGACACATCGATTGGTTTTGAAATCATGTAGCCATATTATTTTACCTTCTCTTCTATTTCTTCCTCTACAACAGGGACCAACAGGACCCAAGGGTGTGTTTTTGCAGCCTGGATGTCTAACCTAATCCTTTAGATTTCTTTTCATAATCAAGCCCTCATAAAAGGACCTCTTCAAACAAATCTATCGGTTTGGTTCTGTGTGGGGAGTTTTGGAATGTATTGGAATGTTCTCTCTGAATTGACTAGCTTTTATCTTCATACGACGAGTCGCCTATCTAAATGAATTCCAAGAGAAATAACTTACTCGGACTGCGGTATATTGATATTGTTAAATGTGACTCTCATTAGCGAGAATTTAATATGTTTACATTTCCAGTTTTTCAACACATCGAATGAACCATATAAAACTGGGTCTGTTACACACTATTCTAACCAAAAAACACACTATTCTGGTCAAAAAAACCAATATGCAAAAATTAGCAAACGATCTGAAGGCTCATCGTCACACTGTTTCAAAATCCATTAAACAGTGTAAGGAGGACCTGAGCATAGAAAGAAAATTTAGATCGGTAAGAAAAAATGTCTACAGATATTGTTAAGGCAAAATAAGTCATAAAACTCATTCGAAGAACACTGAACACTTCTATCAGTTGGGTTATGTTGAAGTCGTATAAAGTTCAGAAAGTTAAATAATAAAATAAGTCAAAAAACTCATTCGAAGAACACTGAACACTTCTATCAGTTGGGTTGTGTTGAAGTCGTATAAAGTTCAGAAAGTTAAAATTGCAATCCGGTAAAGATAGAACTGCTATAAAGAAAATTTCAATAAGGCGGTGCTTTTGTTTCGGACAATAGTGTGTATATTACACAGTGTTTACAAAAAGGACCTGTATCTTTATATTACTGGACCCGATTTGGCACCATGCCACTATGGAGAAAGGGCCTTTAAATGGTATTCAAACAATGATGTAAATTTTTTTAAACGGTTGAATCCAACGCTTTTGTTAACATGTCTGCCAGTTATACATCTGTTGAAATTGATTCTAATTTAATAACGCCTTTTGAAATGTAATCACGAACAAAATGAAATTTCATATCAATATGCCTTGACCGTTTACTTTCAGCGTTCTTGGCTATACCAATACATTATCTATTTCATATAATCATATAATTACATAGTTATCAAAATGTCTTGAATAAATTAGTTTTAAATCTTTTGAGTCTTTGATATAACGAACTATGTATATGTTTTAAACATGTCCAATAAATATCACTAGGGTTGTTTTAAAATCTTTCCATATATCCAATCTGGTAACATATGTATATCTGGTAGAACAATTAATATTAAACTGCTCAACATCACGATAGGGATTCTATATTTATATTATATTTGATTTATTTTGCGAATGATATATATGGTTACAGTCGCTCATTACAAATATTTTTAGCATCTGTTCAATATTTAAATGTCGACTTGATTTACAACGCCATAACATCTTCGTACCCAAGTAATATTGCAAAAGTCCATATACATATATCTAGTATACTATGCAAATAGTAGAGAGAATAGGGGTATAAGTTACTTCATAATCTATATACCTTCTTTTTGAAGAAATCTCTAAATTAAGTAACCATTGTGATTCCCTTTAAGAAGAAACAAGAAAAAATAAACAGAAAGGAGATAAAAAAGCCGGAGAGATAAGTTTGAAATTAATGAGTTCCTATCCTAATAGAAAAAGAATGTTGATAGTATTGGAAGGGAATTCTACGTCGTCCGACGCCTAAATAGCCAATCCATTCCCCTGACAAAACCTAGAATGTAGCTTATACTACACCTAGCTACATCTCTTAAGTCATCATGGAATGTTTTTGCTAGCCATTTCCGCCTCAGACTCTGTACACCAGGACAGTCACACAAAATATGTTCTACTGTCTCTAGCTCCTCTTCGTCGTCACACAACCTACAAAACTCCTGTGTGTTAAGGACCCGATTGTCCAAAAGGGCTCCTATTGCGCAGTGACCAGTTATCACTCCTACAAGAATTCTAATACTTCTCCTGTCCAATCCTAATAGTGTACTGGTTGCCTTGGCATTTAACCTCGGCCATAAGGCCTTGGATACCCTGCAATCCAACCTTCTATGCCAGGATTGGTTGGAGGAGTTCCTGAATTTGTCGGAGATTAACCTATAGTAGTAGCAAATAGGAGGTTTCACCCACCTAATTACTATTATTGTCCAGATCTGACCCTTGCCTGGCCAGTTCGTCTGAGATTTCATTACCCTGTATATTACAGTGCCCTGGAACCCATCACAGCCTGATTGTATACATCCTAGATAGCTCGCGGATAGCATTCCTGCAGCCGCTTACTAATCTGGAATGAACTACACTATCAACATAAACTGTCACCTCCGACCCCCTTCTAATGTGTGTCTTTATCCAGATTCAAGTTCATCTTTAATAGCATCTAACCACATAGGTTTGTCTGGATTATTTTGCCAATATCTTTGAAAGATTCGGGTTCTGTAACTACAACCAGAAATTGCATAACCTGTAATATAGCCTAGAATCTTGTTTTTCAAACTTTCGATTCTTCTAGAATCGGTTATCACATAGGTTTATATGGAAAAAGATTGATATGGGTGTATTATTATCACTCAGATTACTGTTTTCTCATTTAACTGGTCGCCATCAATATTTCTATTGTGATAATTGAAATTTAACCTGTGTCTACCCGTGACTAGTAGTGCACTGGGCCTTATATAGTTATAGGAGCTTTACTCATTATGGTTTATATTAATGATTTCTTTAAGATATTGCAATATTTTGAATAGGAAGCATTTCTCTTCACAGATAATATACAACTTTTGCTTTTAAGACATCTCCAGCTTCTTGACGTTTATGGATGGATGAAAAATTCATTGTTTCAAAGGTAAATTTATCTATTTATCATTTATGAATTTTTCATTAAGCCAGTCTTGTAAGAAATGAGCGATATATAAATAAGTTATAATTTACTTGTTTAAAAATATATTTTGCAAAACTATCATTAACATAAATCTTTTTCGCATAATATACTATAATAACAAACTATCTTCACTGAATTTTCCGTCAATTACTCAATATTTCCAACACTTAAAGTAGAGTCGAAAACAATAAAAGAATTATAACTTTGTTGTTTCAACAGAATAAAATATATCTATATTTAATAATATATTAATATGTTTGTATGTATAATATATCTATGTATAAGTGTTAGTATGTATATCAGTTTTCATTAATATAATACACAATAAAAACATATTTATAACTAAATTAAAGGAGTAAAAAACGTAAACGTGATATTGTAATAAGTATTTTTGTCAAACTATTTAACTAAACAATTGAAACTTTAAATTCATTCGTATCGAATTTTGAAAAAAGGTAGATTTAAAACGATAAAAACTTAAAAAATTTTAAATAAAATATAAGTAAATTCTATATGATTTACATTAAAGGCATATTTTAACTAAAATACATGTACATATAAGAATTTCAGCTGTTATTGTTGAAATAAAGTCATTTGTTGAGATTATTATAAATTGTATTTGTTCTTAAGCATCCGTTTTGTTTGGTTTGCAAAATAACTTTAGATGATTATCATCTTCATCACCATTAACAGACTATTGGAGACTGTGTGAAAAGGTTAAGGAAATGCAGCGAAAACTCAATCACATATTAAGAGCTTAAAATTAAAGGTAAGTCCAGATTTTGGGGAATAAATTCTTCTTTACACAGCCACCACCAACAAAGCCATCAATTCAACAATTATTGTTGCTATCAGTATTGGGTGTGTATGGATGTGTCTTTGTGTATATTGTGTTTTCCGTTTTGTTTTTCATTAATCTACATAAAGAGCAAAAAAAGTAAATAAAAAAGACTGAATATAACTATTGCTACTATTCAAATATCATATCCATTTGTGTTGTATGATGCTTCCAAGGCTTGGCCTTTATGATCACCTTTTAATTTCAAGATAGATACTTAGAAGCACCACCAAATAATTTCTCTATCGTCATTCATTTCACAACACAATCCTTTGGATGTTGTGTCTAACTTTAGTACAACTTTCGTAAATTCTTAGCATATGGGAGCTTCCAATTGCTCAGCAATTAATTCCTCCAATGCTCTTTCGCCTATTAAACGGAAGAAAAACAAATGATCGAGACATTTGAGACTGATGGAACGTAAAGCGGGCAACCTTAGCAGTAGTTGAGCAAAACGACCATCATCACCTGGATGTTCTGTGCGGCAGTGTTCGTCCAGACAGGCATAAATTTTTTCACGACATACCTCAACGTCGGCGCGGCATTTGAGACCGCGTATATCAGGATTGAAGAGTATGATTGCCTTCAGACACGACAACTCCGAGCGATCGATGTTAAGACGTTTCATTTTGATGCTCAACTCCGAAAGGATGCGATCGAAAATCGAAACAACATTGGCTTTAATAGCACTATTGCGATGATACGAGAAATTCTGATTAAGGAAGAGTTGTTGGGGCTGACGCACTGGTGAACGCCGACCAAAAGAACCGTCATGTACCGTGCCAGGCGAGGCATATTCGGCATCAAGAGACTCAATACTGCACCAGGCAACATTTGCAATCAGCAATTCATTCCAGCCAGCCTTTAGCAAAAGTATCTGGTCCTCACGTTGCAAATGTGTAAAATGTGGTGTACGACGTGCATATTCAACCATTTGGAAGAGTTGTTTGTTAACCATCTGGCAGAGATGAGATACAGCGCCTTTGTAGTCATGTTGAACCATGGAATTGTTGCCTACGCGCAAAAAGGGCAACACATTATCACCGCTCAGTGATTCGGCTTTTTGCTCGGCCTCAATGATGCGTTCGATAGTGAGATCACGTAATGAACTGCTGGGTTTAAAGTCTTCTCCGCCAGCACCAACTACATTGCTTACCCCTCCACCACCTCCTCCTCCACCACCAGCACCTGCAGCTCTAGCGTTAGCCGCACGAGTACCTCGTTGTCGTTCCTCTTGGACCGCTTCGCGTTTCATGCCACAAGCTAAACACTTTTGATAACGACAATACTGGCAGCGATTTCTTTGTCGTTTATCTATAATGCAATTTCTGTCCTCACGACAAGCATATGTCAAATCCTTGCGTACTGTACGTTTGAAAAACCCTTTACAACCCTCACAACTGTAGACACCATAATGTTTTCCACTGGCGCGATCGCCACAAATGGAACACAAGTGTTTCGAACCACTAAGTGGGTGATTTGGTGGATACTGCTGCTGTTGTGGTGGCGTAGTTTGCAACATTTGATTTTGGTTGTTGGCATTCGCGGCAGCGACTGCATTTATTGCCTGTAATCCAATGGCAAATGGATTAGGACTTCCAGGTTTAGGTGAATAACTACTTGTATTATTTTCATTAAGCAGTGAAATGTCTGGCTTTATCTCCTGCGGAGACATCGGTGCCAATCGGAAACCAGCATCTTGCTCGCCGTTATCCATTGTGATGATATTTTCCTGTATCAAGAGATCTCACTAATTTGTTTCTGTCACACACAATCTTTATTTAATACATTTAATTATTAATTTTGATAATTGATTTTTAATTTTTACAAGACTTTTTTTTACAAACAAAGAATGTCTATATTCTGGTTGACTAATGAATGAAAAGTTTTCGCGTCGACATTTTATTTTCTCATGTAGAAACAAATCCACCTCTACTTAATTTTACTAGTACAATTTTCACCACAACCACAAAGAAAACAAGAACGAAATGCGTTCGTAAAATTTGGTAAACTAAACAGAGTTGCACTTGTGTGCAGTGGTGCCTGTTTTTTATTCTCCCCAAATTTTGATATTAAATTTAATAATTACTTTATCAACCTGAACTTTCACTTATTTGGATCGAAATTCGACCAGATTGTTTGTACTTTTCTCTTTTGTTCATTTTAAATCAAAATATTTCACTTTTTACCTAAAAAAAATTGCGACTTGTAATCATATTAATGAGAATTTTGGGAAGGGACAAATAGCAAAAAATGTTTAAACGTTTCAAATATGTCCAAACATTAGAATACTATAAAGTGATTTGATGGAAAATTTAAGAGGCCAGATTCGGATTCTGTCTATGGATTCTAAATACCGTTATTGTTAAAATACCATTACTGAAATAACCCAAAATACCGATAACGCTAAAATACCTATACCGAAATAAACTAAAATACCGAAATACCGATACGGAAATAAGTTTAAATACTGATACCGCTATCTTTTCACCGTTTCGAAACGGTTGCCAAGTTTCTGCAAATCGAATCGAGTTCGAAATTGAGAAACTTTTAAAACCGAATTTGGTGTACTGCAAATCGAATTTTTATGTGTACCTAAAATTCAGAAAAATAAACACACAGAAAAAAATTATACATAACTACAATGAATTTTGTAATAAATTGTATGAATCGAACATGACTTTTTTCCCAAACCATTTTCATTCGGAATATTAAAAGTTCATAAAATGTATATATTTGTACATGAATGATTTTTTTTTTTGTTTTTTTTTTACTTATTTTCTTTGATTTTCATAAAAAATTACAATAAATATCCAATGTTCCATTTTTTTTTAGAAAATAATCATACATATTAGCGAATTTTTATGAAAAATAAACAAAAATATTGGAAAACAAAATATGAAATAAAAAACATAAGCAAATATAGCTAAACATCCATTCTTTAGACAATCCTGCAAGTTACGCGCATATTTCATTGTTTTCAATCTAAAAATCATAAAGAAATAAAAACTTTTCCAAAGAAAATTTCAAACATTTTTTTAACAAATAGAAAAATAGAAAGAAAATGTTTAATTTTTTTATGTCAAGGCTTCTAAATTATGTTTAAAAAAATAAAAATAAAAAATTCATACAAATTAGGAACTTATTCTTATATATTATTAACTTCAGTCAATGAAAGCTGTTCATAATATTTATGCTTAATCTTTTTTCTGTGCATATTTTAAATGAGAAAATGTTTAAAATTTAAAATGAATAGCATTTATATTACGTTACAATTGTATTAAAAAACTCAAAAATAATTATTTAATTTATTAGAATAAAATTACTTTCTATTTACTTTCGAATATATTTGTGTACTCGGTTTTAAAACAAGAAAAATTATGCGAATTCGATTTTAAACTAAATTTCTAGTTTAAAATCAGATTCGGTATACAGAACATACAGAAATATACAACTAAAACTAAAATACAGCACAGCGAATTTTAATTTTCATTCGTTAAAAGTGTTTACATTTAAATTATCTTAACATTCTGAGAAATAGATATAGTATTCACTAAGATTATGCGAATGTATAAAAGGAAAGCATTGCGTGCTTTTCATACCTTTTTTGCATCCTACGCATCAAGTTACATGCAACGCTTCTTAAGCGTCAATTTTTTGCTTTATTTATAAAGAACTTCGTGTTTTTTTAAGTTTTTTATTTATATTTTCACAATTTATCTCATTTTAGTTTATTAAAATTGATAATACACATTCAAAATTGAATATAAATTGTCAAAATCAGCTGACATGTTCGTGCGCCGCTTACAAAAGTAAAAAGTAGTAGCGGTGTGGGTATTATGAGTTTGCGCTGACGTTTGTAACACACAAAAATATTGGTCCTAAAGTATACCAATCGGCTCAGAATCAATTTCTGAGTCGATTTAGCTATACCCGTCCGTCAGTGTGTCAATGTAAACCTTGTGCGCACTCTACAGGTCGCAATTTTCAAGATAATTTCATGAAATTTACTATTTTGACCCAAGGACGAAGCCTATTGAAAATGGTTAAAATCGATCCATTATTTCGTATAGCCCCCATACAACCGTACCCCCGATAGGGTTTTTGAGCTTATAAATATGTTAAATGTTCTTGTATCACTTCAAAAATCGGCAAAACTAAGTTTTATGTAAGGCGCAATTTACATGAAGACTTTTCAGACGTCTGTTTTTTCCAATTCTCTTTTGAGAATCTTCCAAAAAATCATGAACATTTATACGGTGATTTTTTACATGCAACTATGCATGTCTTTTTTTGATGTTTAATTGTATAATCCTTTTTAATTACTTATTCGTAATAAAAATAAAATGAAATTTTTAACATAAAAACAATTTAATTTGATTTAAAAAAATTTAATTACACGCTATAGTATTTTTTTAATGCAAATTTTAATGTTTTCATGTAAAAAAAGACATAATTATTTTTTTACATGAGCATAATATCAACAGTACGAATGAGTTTAAAGAGGAATGTCAAAAACAATCATGAAAATCCCAAATCATGTTTGTTTTCTTACCCCCCCATTCTTCTCTACCCCGCTCACCGCCAATCATCGACAAACACGAAAACAGACGTCTGGGCAAACATGAAAAAAATCATCGTGTAAATTGGGTGTAAGTCTTAATAATACATACATTTGACCATATCCCCCATACCAAGTCCCCTTCAGAAAATGACTTGATGGTCAAAATTCACTTATAAACATTAATATCACGATGATATTCTGCATAAATAACTAATGTAGACGTAAATTCCTTTACCCCCTCCCCCCATTTAACCTCTCTTTTAGAAAATCCCTCATCAGTCAACAAATTGTTAAAATATTTTTAAATTAAGGTAAAAATTAAATTAAATATTAGTTAAAAAACAAGTAAGAGTGCTATATTCGGCTGTGCCGAATCTTATATACCCTTCACCACAGTGTATTTAAAAAATACCAATTCCATAAAATTTTAATTTATTTCATTTTCCCGTTTATATCATTATTATAGCAATAGCAAAACGAACAACAACAACGCTAAACGAAACACACAAAAAAACAAAATACACAACGCAATGAAACCAACAGACATCCAAACATACAAAACTGAATACACCAAAAAACAAAAACAATATACACAAGGCAATGAAACACACGAAACGAAATACTCAAAAAAAAAAAGCAAAAACAAAATACACAACGCAATGAAACCAACAGACATCCAAACATACGAAACGGAATGCACCAAGAAACAAAAACAATATAAACAAGGCAATGAAACACACAGCCACCCAAACATATGAAACGAAATACTCAATGAATAAGCAATGTTGTTGTTGTTGCTTATATCAAAGCATGAAAAATATTGTCTTTTGTAAGAAATTTTCAGAGGTTGTCTCGGATTTTTGCTCATATCTCCGGTATTTATCGACCGTTTTTCCTGATTTTAAATAGCGATCTTCTCGAAAGCATGTCTAACAGAATTATTGAAGATTCGGATCTCGCCGATATCTGGGGTCTAAAAACTAATTTCAACAGACAGAAGGACAGACAGACAGACGGACATAGCTTAATCAACTCCGCCATCTATAAGGATCCAGAATATATATACTTTATGGGGTCGGAAAATTATATTATAGAAATTACAAACGGAATGACAAACTTATATATACCCTTCTCACGAAGGTGAAGGGTATAATAATCAAAATTTTTAACATAATCACTGGTGTAGGGTATCATATGGTGGCCATGCCCGACTATAAATTCTTACTTGTTTTTTAAATCTATCGAAAAGTCTACTTTTGTCACATCACACCACACACCATTAATTGCCTATATATTAGGACAATTCCGTTCGATTTGTCGCCTCTTTTTTCTGAGCTCTTCATAAACATATATAAAAAATATATATGTGCAGTTAATGATTCGGTGGGACAAAATACAAATATTTGCTATATACATACTCAATACTTTACCACAGGATATAAATTTACCAGCAATATCTTTTTTTAACCATTGTATACGCACGTACAAGATATATTAATTATATTAAAAAATAAGTGCAATTTTTGTTGTGTTACATTTGTAAACATTATATACAGCAACATGGCAACTCTATAAAAAGAAATTCACCACAAACTATATTGTTTATAAATTGCATTATGCATTTATATTAGCGTCTTTGGATTAAGAACAATAACAACAAAAACAACAGACACATTAACACAAAAACTATATTCATTGATTATATTGCTCTTTTTTTTTGTTTTGCCCTCAAACAAATAATCACAAACGAGAACCATTAACTTACGATTTTGCTGCTTAATTTGTTTTATTGTAAATACAATTTTATTACGTAGAAACTTATGCACTTTAATTTTTTTAACACTGGAATAATATAATACGTAAAATTATTAATTAATTGATTAAATATAAAAATTTGCACGACGTTTCCGACGCGGTTTTGCACAACAATACACAATATTCAGCTCAGGATACCTGTGCCAACAAACATTAACGGCGGTGACGTACACTAAAAATTTCGGCGTTATCTTAAAATTGACTGTAAGCCGGCAAAGTTTTCATGTTTTTTTACATTTTGTTAACGGTAATAACCCGTAAATATCTGAAATTGGAATACGGACATATGTATGAAATTACTACCATAATTTTGGTTCTAGAATCGAGTGTAATTTAAACCAAAAATAAATAAATTTGTAGTTGTAAAATTTCTATAATTTAGTAAGTGCAAGTCTACACAGACAAACTTTTGATTTTGTGTGTGAGAGAAAGAGAAGGAAATAACAATCACCTCTCTCTCGGAGTTTCTTATACTCGGAAACTTGTTTTGATAGTGTCGGTTCACAAAAGCAAACTTTTTTTGGGAAACTTTTGATTATGTATGAGAGAGAAAGAGCAAGAAATATCAACCATCAACACAAAATAAAGTTTCCAAAAAAAGATTTCCTGTGTGAACCGGCACTTATTCTTCACATTCATACAAAAACAAATCAATGCAATTAATACGTAGTTGCTGAAACAAAAGTTTTACTGTGTAGACATTAAGGAAACTTTAAAAGGAATTAAGAAAAAGTTTTCCAGTATGGACCGGCACTAAAATATTTAAGAAAATTGTACAAAATTTGGAGGAAATTTTTAAATAGTTGTAAGCTACAAAATGTTTAACGACGGCGGCTTTAACATTTTATTGGCGGCTTGGCTGAGTCGGCTTTCGATGCAGGACTCTGTTTTGTTTTTAGAAAAAGCAACTCACACACAAAGAACAGTAGACAAAATGCAATAAAAAAAACTACGTATATAAATTAGCGATTTTGTTAAAAAAAAATTAGCGATTTATTTAGTGTTACCGTTATTAAAAAACGAAATATTTTTACAATCAAGTCTTACCTTCTATGTACATTAAGTGGGCCCAAAATGAAAGTTAATAATGTTCCCGCCGAAAATTAAAATGTAAATGGCTTAATAATGGAAACAACAACTTTCAAAATTTTGTTTATAAAGAAGTACATTTTTTACGTGAAATTGTGTATTTCTGTTAAACTAAAATATTTTTTCAATAATCTAAAGATATCATAAGGAGTTTTATGTCAAGGAAGAGTTGATGAAATTACGCATATATTGATATATACATACATATCGTCACTTAAAACGCAAACGGTCCCAATTAAACACAAATTAAAAAAGAATATGTATTACATCAAAATCACCAAGAAAAAATTGGGAATTAGGTATTTAATTTAAACAGTTTTTTGCTTCTGTATTTTTTTTAAACGCTAGGTGACGATATATGTATATATGTTTGTACATTAGGGTGACAACCAACAAATTTGGCCCTATTACTACGTTATAGCTAATAGTGTTCTAATATCGAAAACCAGTTTCCCGGGTTATTTTTGTGCAAAAACCTTTCGCGGCAAATAGATTTTTTAAAACCATTCACAAACAAATGTACACAAATTTTTAATGGTATAATCTACTTGTTATACCCTACACCACTTTAGTGGGGAGGGTGTATTGAGTTTGTACTGATGTTTGTAACACACAATAATATTGGTCCTATACCCACCTTAATGTATACCAATCGGTTTAGAATTATTTTCTGCATCGATTTAGTCGATTGTCGATTGTAATCAAACTGCAGGTCGCAATTTTAAAGATAATTCAATGAAATTTGTTACATGAAAATGGTTAAGATCGGTCCATTATTTCACCTAGCTTCCATACAATTGAACCCCTGAATAGGACTTGTAAACCTTGTAATCAAACTACAGGTCGCAATTTTGATGATAATTCAATGAAATTTGGCACATAATCTTATATGGTACCGGAGACAAAGCCTATTGAAATTGGTTATTCACCTAGCCCCTACAACTGAACCCGACGAATTGGGCTTTCAAGTTCATAATTAAGTTTAATACAATCGTATCGGGACAAAAAGCTGCAAAACCAAGTTCTATACTAGCCTTGATGAATTTTATAATTATAGGTCCTCATTTAACCATAGCTCTTATACAATGCCCCCTTCAAAATTTGACTTAAATGTCCACAATTTTATTCAACAATAAATGGCTTAAGTATGTATGTATATCTGAGACAAGGTACAATTCAACTTAAATGCTTTATTATGAAAACTAAATCACTTTTTATTTTTGTAACAGGTGCAGGGTATTATATGGTCGGCCTCGCCCGACTATAATTTCTTACTTGTTTTGATACTATAAATGTTGTGGGTCAAGCAATGACACTTGTTTAAATAAAAATTTCGATTTTGTATTAAGAAATTTAAAATATTGTTAGAGAAAATATTGATAATTTAAGAGCATTTGCCACGGAAACTTTTTTAACACTCGGGAAAAAGTGATATACTTTTTCGAAGTACTTTTTTATGCTCTATATTTTAAAAAATTGCATAAAAGTTATGCTCTAATGTATGTACATATATACGTGTTTGTTAAATAGCTAATACAAGATCAGGTAGAAAATTAGTTTTGAAAAATTATAATAAAATACTAACTACATACATATGTATGTATGTAGTAGATGGAATTTTGGAAAACCGAAAAAACATTTCGTGGAATATGTTATAATTGCAATTATGTACAGTGCAACATCGACAATCTGGACAAACATAGTCGAAGTTGTACTGTATTTACATTAAAAAATTCTGTGTAAAAATATGAAAATGAAACATTTTAACGAAATTACATTTTTTAATAATAAATAATGACAGTCTTGTAAATGAGCGATATTTCGGTACTTTTCAAATTATTAAAACTATTAAATATTTGTCAGTTACTATTCATCAGACCTACATGTGATACAAATATCTCTATATGAACAAATATAAACAAACAAAAATATAACACCTAAAATTATATTTTAAATTCAGAAAATTGTATTTTTATTAAAAAATTTAATGAGAATTATTTAGATAAATACATTTGCAATCGAATTACATATTTACTCCATTCTTATATTATATATTCTTTAAAAAATACAAAAAACATCGTTTAATTTTTATAAAAATAATTGTTTCGATAGGGTTTTTAATTTAATCACTGTATGTAAATAAATACATATTACATATTTAAAGAATAATGAAAAATAACAATTGGCACTTTTATATTTGATAGTAATTTTCATCAATTTTACATTCAGTTACAATAGCTGGTGAAACAGCTGCCTCTGGCTCAACTAGCTTTTTCTTGTTTTGTAAACTGTCCACATGGTCTTTGTTATGAATACGTATGACTTTAGGATGACTACGATGCTTCTTTGCAAAAATTTGATTATTTTTATAAAAAACATGTTTGTAACCATTATTTCTGAGCTTTTCTTTGGCATAAATAAGTAGCGCATGGAGTTGATCATCCATATACTCTCCAACTATAATGGAACTAGTAGTGGGATCATTTTTCAAAAGATTCTTATTTGCTAGAAAATTATTTTTCAGGAGTTTATTTTTGAATTGAACTACCAACTGGGCCTTAGAAGATGGTTGCTTTTTATCATCTACAATATTTACTTTAACCAAATCATCTGCGGAGATCTGTAGAGACATTTTCGAAGCTAGTTTAATAATAATATTTTCAAAAGGTATTACAAGTTGATCTAAAGGCAAGTCTTTTATAAAGACGAACGTGTCGCTGCTATCGCTTATTTGGTTGGAATTCTTGTTTAACAAATCATTTATAGGGTTAACAATTTTCTGATTTTCTCGTTTCTTTGACAAATCTTCATTATTAGTATGTTTTAAAATGCCTTTTGTATTAAAATCTGCTGACTTGAGATGCTTAATGTAACTTTCCAATTTCATTTTGTCTATCGATAGTTGAGTACTAATGGCTATTTCTTTTTCAAACTCTGCTGAAATGTGTTTCAATTTTTGCTCTAAAACTCTTATTTTATCATTAAGAATACTATCACTAAAAGGGCTCTGTTCTGTCTGTAAGCCTGCTTTCAATGAGTCAATTTCCAAATTCTTTAGGCTTAGTTCTTTGGACTTGCATTCATTATCGATTCTCAAAATTTGTATCTGATCTTGAAGTTCTTTAACTAGTTCCGAAGACTCTGTATACTGCCCCTGAAGATGTAAGAAGTTTTTATCACTATCACCAATTTGCCTGATTTTCTCCTCAAGATCTCTCTTTTCGCGTTCACAGGCAGTGAACTGCTCTTGTAGATGTAAGAAATTAAATTCAGTTTCATTCATTTGATCTGCAAGCTGGGCATTTTTTTCATTTGAACTTTTTAATTTCAACTCAATTTCTTGTAATTTTTGCAAACTTTCTTCCGAATCATCGAAACTTAAATACAGTTTATGAGTTGTTGGATTGTATTGGCGGCATTTGGGACAACTTGTTGATCTAAAAAATATGTAACTTTTGTTATTTTACTTTCACACAATGATATAAATCACTTACCGCCCCATCCAGTCTTGCACACAGGAAAAGTGGAAAATATGTCCGCAACTGGTGCTATAAATATCATCTGCATTTTTAAAAACTTCCGTACATATTGGACAGACAACATTAAGAATCGGCATGTTGATGCGTTGGTTCCTTTGTTAAAACTTTTTCCTAAACGAATTTAAGAACAACCGAATACATTAAATACTTTGCAATTACAAAAATTGTCTGCTTATCTTTTTTTGTATTTCATTTAGAACTGTGTTGCCAATACCTAAATTAAAGTTAAACATTAAATTTACCAAAAGCACTTTTTGCTTAAAAACAAACAAATTTAAATAGAAAAATATACTTGAGTTCAAAGTATATTAATATACTTTGATTGAGTTCTTTTTTTAAATTTTGCAAATTTAATTTTGTTCTACAAATATAGTCAAGTAAATTTGTACCAAATTATATATAAGTTTAGTTTTTTTGTGATCCCAGCTATATTCACTATTTTTAAATAAATGCTTTATTGACAACACTTATTAAGTTGTTGAAAATGCAACTCATCACTTATATTATTAACTTGTGGATAAGAAGGGGTTTTCCCTTATTTTATACAAAATGGTCGAATAAAAAAGAACAACTAATTGAAGATGTAGACCGCATGTATACATATATATATATATATATATATATATATATATATATATATATATATATATATATTCCAGTTATTGGCGTTAATATCTTTTTCTGAAGGGGAACTTATAAGGGGGTTGACAGGCCCTCAAAATTTGGTAATGTCGAATTTCATAGCTATACATGCTTTTTTAAGCCAACTATGTACGTTAAAATCATTTCGTGAGGGGAACCTTGTATGAGGGTAGAGTCAATTAGGGAGCGATCTTCATATAACTTAGTTCCTTTAAAACACACATCGGCAGAGCGTAAAATTTTCTTTCCACACTAACACTACTTCACTTTGTGTTTTTGCATTCCATGCACTGAAAGAAAAGTTTACAAAATTTTTTAGTGTTTTTGGTGTAGTGAGTTCACTACTTTACAGTGTACTGTATTATAAATAACAAAAAAACATTAAAATTTCTGGATTTTTTGTGAATAGGATTGGAAAAAATTTAAACACGGCCTATTATTTTTGAACATTGCTCTCGGAAATGCATTTATTTGCAATTTTAGATACAAAATGAATCTTAATATATACTCCATGTAAATAAAAGTAAAGAAATAATGGAAGATTTTGAAAAATGAAACAAATAATGGATCGTTAGGTGTATAAAAATATCCTCCAACAACTTTTGCGCTCATATACAGTACTATAAATATCAATTAACTGACAATATTTACAGGATAATGTTGTAAATAGGCTTGTATATCAAGAATTAACATAGTAGCGGGTATTACATTTGTTTAGGAGTTTATGTCGTTGATTCACATTTATTAAAATTCCCATTATTTTTTACAATTACACAGAAAAAAATTCTTTAAATAAATTTTTTTTACGTATTTACTGATAATTTTTCTTGAGATATTTTAAAATTAAAATAAATATTAAATATCAAATATTCTCATATGCAAAAATAACTTTCGGCAAACAAGAACCTATCTTTATGTTTAACAACAGAGATTTCTCTATGTGTAACTCCATCAAAAAACTGCGCTTGTATGTTTTACAGAAACTCACCACACAATAACCGAAACAGGGTTTGCTGTTTTATTTATTGTTTTGTTAACGGGTTTTGAAATGTAGACTTTCCGACATTTTTTAATGTACAAAGAAGGTCCATAACAAAGAATAATAAGAAGTTGGACTATGACATTGTTTTACAACAATAACATTTCCTTCTCTTCACAGACGAGTTCTGTGTAAATTCAACACACTGATGAGAACTCAATTCTCTCACAATACTTCAAAACTTTTTCGCGAAAATACCGGGATAATAGACGTTTTAAAAAAAAATTAATTTTTTTGACACTTAAAATTGATAAAACAAAGTTGTAAGTTTTGGTATTAAAAATGAAAAAATTATTTAAAATAAACCTATTTTTTGCAAAAGACAGATTTAAATTCCGAAAAATATATTTATATCTATATTTAAATCTTTACTGATCAGATGTGGGCAAAATAAATTAAAAAATCTGGGAATGTAGAAATTTAAATGCTATTTATTTTTTCTAAAATACTAATACAAAAATTCTACCAATACATACTTAGAGTTAGGCATCGAATGAGAACTCCTTTAGGTACCAAATGACAAGCCCCAATTTCTTTATATTTTTTGGTCCATAACTTTTACAGTTTTGAAATTTTGACTTTATTAACTTTTTTAAGAGAAGTTTTTGAGTATTTTTGACTTTTTTCGCCATATTTAGACTTTTCGACTTATTTCGACATTAGGATTCTATAGACTTTTAAAATAATTATCGAAGTCGATTTTTTTGTTAAGTCGATTTTGCAAATAAAAGTCGAAAAAAGTTGAAAAGCTCGAACAAATTGATAAGTGGACAATTTAATACTATGTTTCCACTGGCACAAAGTATACAGAGGCGTCACGGCAAAAATATATATTTGTCTCTTTCGCACGATACTATTTCAACTTGTTTTGTTTTGGTCTTATTTTTTGGGTTTCTTTTCAATTTTCTTATTGGAGGTAAGTAAATTATGAGTTAATTGCTGTAAAAAATATAAAATAAAACATCATAATATGTATATATATAAATAAAACACATAATTTATATGCAATTAAAACTTTTTAAAATTTTGCACAAAAGTTATTTTAATTTTGTTTATTTTCTTTTGCTTTGTTGTTCTGTTTACAAAATAGCCTTATATAGTGTTGTTTGTTTTAACGCACTGTGTGTATTAAACCCAAAAATTAGTTTTCTCTGTCTACCGAGACCATTTCAAAAAAATCTGATTTTAGTGTTTTTGAACTGTCAAAAATGACACCTCTGTATACTTTGTGCCACTGGCTTGAAATCTACTAGATTTGCGTAAACCTCTTCAAGGTCTTTCCTTCTTCTTCTGTTGCTGTTACTCTCAGTAACATTGTCAATCATTGGAAAAGACCACCGAAACATATGTTTTTATTTCAAGGACTTTCCACTGAGCTTACTAGTTTTTGATATTCGAATTTTCGAACAAATCCCGTCATTATTTTGATATAACGAGAGTAATGTTAATTTCCTTAAAATTTATACATTAAAAATACAAAATTAAAGTTGTAAAAGTATAAATTTGTTTATTAAATACCACTAATTTTAAAATTATAATTTGTTTTGTTTTTATTTCGAAATGAAAAGTCACTTTTTCTATGAAAAACATTAAACTTGAATGGATAGCCTATAGTTGTATTTGCTTATCCTAGATACAACTCAGTGTTGCATAAGCAAATCTTATTCGAAAGAATTTCGACATGTTTTAAATCAAATCTAGTAGATTAAGTAGATTTGGATTTGTCAAAACTGCATGGCAAATCTACACGATTTCAACTAGTTTTGCCCAAAGCCATTAGATTTGCTTTGTCACTTTTGACATTTAAAAAAGTATAAAATCAGCTTTTGTCTGATTTTGAAATTGTTTGGTGAGAAGAGGTATATAAAATACAGCTAAAAAAATCATTGAAATGGTTTTGTGCGAAAGAGAGTGAAATGGTTTTTTGCTCGAGACGCCTCTGTATACCCTGTGACATAGCATAAAATTTTTATCCAACAATTTACATAATTTAAGTTTTTATGAAGAAAAATATTTTTAGCGTTTTTAATATAATAGCAACTTATTTTCATTAAAATAAAAAATGTCTACTTGTACAATTTATATTTCGTTTTACGTCTTTCTGTTTATTAATTTCCTTTCGGAAGAGTCGAAAAAAAGTTAAAAGTCGACATAAGGTCAAAAAGTTAAAAAATTTCGAGTTTTCAAAAATACAAAATTTCGAAAAGTCAACTTTTTAATTCTACTACGTTTGATTACTTTTTCAGTATTTATACGTATTAAAAATGTAATGCTTCCAGTGCCTCGTTTTTGTACAGACAGTGAAATTGAAGAAAAAATATATATATATATATATATGTATATATATATATAATTATCCCACTATATATATATATATATATATATATATATATATATATATATATATATACATTTACATTTTTCATCATTTATTTTGATGAGCCTAAGCAGTCGACTTTTTGTTAAAAGTTAAAGATCTTAAAATAAAAGATAAATAAACACAAAAAATAGAGATATTAAATGAAAATTGTTCGAAAAATTATCCCACTAAATTCGCCCTTGGCAAATTCTAAGTTTACGCCCACGTACTTTTTTAACACGTGAGAAATTTCTCACAAAATTTTCTTACAGAAACACTTTTACTCACAAATTTCCAATAACTTACGTCAAAAAACATAAATGGCAGATAGTTCTCACAAAATTTTCTTACAGAAACACTTGCATGTGAGAAATGATGAATTTGTTTCAATTCACATTGTTTTTTCTTCAATTTCACTGTCTGTACAGAAACGAGGCACTGGAAGCATTACATTTTTAATACGTATAAATACTGAAAAAGTAATCAAACGTAGTAGAATTAAAAAGTTGACTTTTCGAAATTTTGTATTTTTGAAAACTCGAAATTTTTTGACTTTTTGACCTTATGTCGACATTTTAACTTTTTTTCGACTCTTCCGAAAGGAAATTAATGGTTAGGTTAGGTTAGGTTGATAGGAGGATGTATACTACATCAAATCCGAAGAAATACACCTAGGCCACTATCGGGCCTGTTGTGCGCTCCAATTCAAGAAAAAAAAAAAAAAAAAAATTGTTTACTGAATGTTCAGAAACTCAGTTTCCTGGACGTAATTCCTAAGAATCTTCCAATCGGTGTTGGTTAAGAATGTTATTTCCGGAATAACATCACTTCCAAGATACTTGGATCTAACTTCGACGAATGCCTGACAATGGCAAAGAAAGTGCTCCAGAGTTTCACTGTCCTCTCCACATGCTCTACATTCGTCTGAATTCGCACGTCCAATTTTGTATAGATGTGCTCGTAATCCTGTGTGTCCACTTAGAATACGTACCATCATACTAACCTCAGACTTGCTCATTTTGAGAAGATTTCTCGTCTTGCTCTCATCAGGGTCACCCCATAGAATCTTTGTGGTTCTACCCACCGTTTCATTATTCCAAGAGGCCTTATGGGATTCTCTCATCCATATTTTTAATTCAGCTTTTGTTGCGTCGAATGGTTTTGCGTTTGT